CCCACCCCCGCCAAGTCCCCCAGACTACACAGTGGCTATTGTTTCCCCTACTGTGGAATTTCCATCAAAAAAGCTCAAGGACTCCGAAGAAGCTATTAAATTCCTCAGCCACCTTTATTTTACTTTTCGTTTCTTGGAACCCATTCTCAAATAATTTTCTGAATCCCGCACAGGAATAACAGATACTCTTGCTCAATATTACGAAGCCTTTGTGTGAGACTGAAGAAATACACTGTCCTTTCAAAGGGGGGTGGGGAGGGGGGGAAGGAATGTCATTCCCGGAAGATTCACAAGCTTCTCCAGCCAAATGCTTCTGATTCTGGAAAAGCAGAGCGAATGCTAATTAGATCAGCCGACCCAGTGGGTCCTGGGGCAAATGAGGTGGCTGTGTCAGTAGCCACACTGGCTCCTGAATGCCCCTTTCTTGTCACAAGAGGCCACCCCAGAGGCACTGCTTAAGCTGAAACTTGCTATCATTTCTAACCTCAAACCTCTGGACCAGGCTGCAACTTCCCCGATAGAGCCTGTTACCACCATTTTCATCTCATCTCACTCCCAATGGCTATCGAGTCAAGAACCCATACGCCACCAGTCTGAATACAAAATACCAACACCACTAGGGACTGAGCTAGAAAGAGCTTTGCTAGGCCCTTGCTCCTCCTCCACCTCAGCTTCACTTGGCTTTTGTCTTCTGTTGTGTTCCTGGTAAATCCAATTATATCGCTATTACCTCAGGCCACCTCAGCTCCTTCTTGGGAATTACGCTAGCTGGAGAGGCAGAGAAGCAGATACCCGCCTTTGCTGTCAGGGATCAGACATCAAACTCATTTTCACCTTCATAACATTTCCAAAGATCACAAATTATTTTCTTAATGCCTAGCTGGAAGGAAGGAGTCCCTGGGTGGTGCAAATGACTGCTAACCGAAGAGTTGGCTGTTCGAACCCACTCAGAGGCACCTTGGAAGAAAGCCTGGTAAAACACCAAGGAAGGCAGTTCTACTCCTGCACACCATGGGGTCACCATGAGTTGTAATTGACTTGATGGATTTTTTTTCTTTTTAGTCAGAAAGATGGGAGAGAACTGGAAGGCAAGGCACCCAACTGCGACCAGTGATGCTGTGGGAGCAAAGAGGCTGGAGCTGGTTTTACATTTTTTTCCTTGTACTTTTCTTTCTTAATTGCCTTAATGTGCATGCGTTACTCCAAAACAAAGTGAATTTGTTTTCCTTATTTGCTGTAATTTCCAGAGACAGTTTGATCACACAACTCAGGGACTTTTCACATCTATTGCTCTTGGGGTGGAGGGGTTTCTTTGCAAGCATTCATTTTGAGCTACTCTTTCTCTAATGAATTCAGAGCCTATAAAGGGAACGGCCCGTGTTTCTTCACCACGTTTCACAATAGCTGAGATGACCACAGCATCATCTAAGCCGTGGAAAATGTGTCTGGGGGGAGGGGGCGCTTCAAGAGTTGCAACATTACCAAGGATATTGATTCCGATACCCAAGACCACAGGCTGAAGGCGATGCAGTGAGCCAGGGAAGCCGAGGCCTGGGTCAGGCCGCACGGGCTCTCAGGCCCGGAAAGAGGTGGAAGGGCACCGGCTCCAGGTGCCTGGGGTCAAGGGCAGCCTGTGAGTTCAGCAGAGGGCGGGAGCTCCCAGTCCAGGGGTCACTTGACCAGCCGCACGCAGTAGTTCAGGCGCCAAGGCGGCGCCTCCTGACAGAAAAAAGGAGCACGGTCATAGGGCAAGGTACCTGCCCAGCAGTGGGGAGTGGGGGCGGGCCGCGGATGGCTGCCTGGGAACTTGAGGAACCCCTAGGGCTGGGGGCTGGGCCTCAGGGTTCCCTCCAGATCCTACTTGACAGGCGCGGTGTCGCCCCGCCCCCTCTTTCCTTGCTCACCCCTGCCTCCCACCACACACCCTGCCTTCCGCCCCGCCCCTCTCTCAGACCCGCCCCACTCTTAGCCCCGCCCCCACGCCGCGCCTCGCGCCCCGCCCCGCCACCTGGGGGCGCCATGCGCGGTCTACTATAAATGCGTTAGGGTTCTGAATCCTTCTGATCAGCGAGTGGCCGCGAGAGGCGCCGTGTTTGTCTGCCTAGACTGCCCCAGGCTCCATGGCCCAGCACCCGTTCTCCAGTGCGCAATCGGTCTTGCACCCGGACCGCCTGTGGATGTGGGCAAAGACCGTGTATTTGGACGAGAACCAGCGCACCTGGCTGCCCATAATCATGGAGGTACAGCCCGCTCTAGGCTGAGGCAGGCGGGACTGCATGGGCGTTGCCTTCCCGGCTGGGCCCTGTGGAGCTGGAGATGCCCCAGGCCGTGCAGGGCCTTTGAGGAGCCCCGGTCTGGGGGTGACGGTGGTGGCAGGGAGGCTTGGAAGGGGTCTGATTAGCAACGGCCAGCCCGGGCTTCACAGATGAAACTACTTTGAGCAGGGTTCTGAAGGATGAGTAGGAGTTCTTCGGGCCAGGAAGGAGAGTGGTAATTACTCAAAGGCATGGAGGCCAACCGATGGGGACCCAGTGGCTCTGGCATGTGTGAATATGATATTGATTAAGGCAGGACTTTTCTGGGCTTCAGGTTCAAAACAAAAAAAAAAAAAAAAAAAACCCTTGCCACGGAGTGGATTCCAACTCATAGTGACCCTATAGGACAGAGTAGAACTGCCCAGTGGAGTTTCCAAGGAGCAGCTGGTGGATTTGAACTGCTGACCTTTTGGTTAACAGCCTGAGCTCTTAACCACTCTGCCAAATGAGAATAATATATCTTCAAAGTAAGTGATTCATGCACCTGACCGACTATCAGAATCTCCTGATGTGGGCCCCAGAAATCTGTATTTTAGAAAGAACCCTCAATAGATTATGATTAGGCACAGTGGTTAAGAGCTCGGACTGCTAACCAAAAGGTGGGCAGTTTGAATCCACCAGCGGCTCCTTGGAAACCCTGTGGGGCAGTTCTGCTCTGTCCTATAGGGTCACTATGAGTTGGAATCTACTTGACTGCAATGGGTTTGGTTTTTGGGGGTTTACATTTGGGAACTACTGCTAGAGGATGAGGTGTTTTATGCCTCCGCTGTGCTTTGGGGAAACCCTGGTGGTGTAGTGGTTAAGAGCTACCACTGCTAACCAAAAGGTCGGCAGTTCAAATCCACCAGGCGCTCCTTTGAAACTCTTACGAGGCAATTCTCCTCCGTCCTATAGGGTCACAGTGAGTCAGTCAACTCAACGGCAACAGGTTTGTTTTGTTTTCGTGGCTATGCTTTGGAGAAAACAAACTTAACACGTAATGTAATACTAAAAAGGCTGGTATTGAATAAATGTTGACTTTGTTTTACCTATGATGCTTTAGATGGATCCTTAGTTAATACTAATTTTTTCTTAAAGAAATATGGCTCCTTTGCAAGTACCTTCCACCAGCACCTGGGTTTCCCAAACAAAGGTGAAAAATGTTGAAAATCTTCCCGTACATAAACTGAAGGAAGTATAAAAGCTGATTAAAATATATATTAGAGCATTCATGTAATACAGCAAATAGCACGAAGTTATTGAGTGTTGACTATGTCCCCACTTTACAGATGATGAAACTGAGGCATAAAAACAGTAACTTGTCCAAGGTAGCGCAGCTAGTAGGTAAAGGGGTTGGAATTCCAGGCTCTTAACCACCTTCTAAACCTTGTGTCTTTATTGATATTTTAATTTTGAAAGTATGCATATATATATACTTTAAAAATCAAGTTAACTATTTACTTTTTAAGTCAAATATTTTAAGAAAATTTAGGTGAGTATATACTTTATAATCTCCGGTTGGAGAATATCTTCTTGAACATGACAGTGAAACCAAGAACTAGCCAGAGTTTTCCTCAAAATGGGTATAAATTCGGCTTGGAAAGTAACCCAATAGCAATCTGGAGAGGAGTGAAATGAGATATACCACACATGACTAAAAGACCCAGTAGTCTTCATATGTAAAGATTTACTTAAATCAATAAGAAAAAGATGAATGATACAAACTAAAAATGCTTAAAGGATGTGGAAGATTAGACACCCACAGAGCAAAAATAGTGATGCCCACACTTACACCTTGCAGTGTGATCTGAATAATTTTTTAACAGTGAGCGCTAATTTCTTTTATAGATAGAAAATAAAATAAAATTATTTCCACTTTGGAAAAGTGTCCATTAAACAAATGTGAGTGCTGAGTGTGCATGCCAGGCAGGGTTCTAGGCTCTGGGGCACACGTTAAATGTGATAAAATCCCAATGCTTGTGAAGCTGACAGTCTGCTGGGGGAGATGGATAAAAAGTAGCTCTTAAGCTGGTGGTAAGTTCTGTAGGAGAATTAAAATGGGGTGGGAGGGGACACAGTGAGTGATGGGGGGTCTTCAGGCAAGACCCCTCTGAGGGTCTAATTTTCTTTTGCCCATCATTTTATGCGTAAACTTTCTGAATCTCCACGTTCTTGGTCACGTTTCTTACGTACATCATAGAGTTGCATTTGCTGAGTTTATTCCTTTTAGTTGGTGAATTGAACCCATTGTCAGTTATTGATGTAACTGATATGTTTGGTCTCAGTTCTGACACATTGTTTTATGTTATATTTGTCTCTATATACATACATTTGAGCAGAAACCGAACCTGTGACCATTGACTCAATTCTGACTCCTGGCGACCCCATGTGTTACAGAGTAGAACTGCTCCCTAGAGTTTTCTTGGGGTATAGTCTTTATGAAAGCGTAACTCCAGGCCTTTCGTTTGTGGTGCCACTGGGTGGGATTGACCCGCCAGCCTTCAGGTTAGTATTCGAGCACAAACCATTCGCATCACCCAGAGACTCCTACACATTTGAGCAGAGACCTGCCTAAAAGAAGGGTGTTACCCTGCGTAGGTCTGGGGGAGATGTTCCAGGCAGAGAGGGCAGCAGGTGCAAGAGATTGTGAGAGCAGGCATAAGTGTGGTATGTTCTAGAAATAGGGGGACTGCGAAGGTGAAGAACAGAGAAGCAGTAGAGGAGGGAGGCAGGGGCCTGGTGATGTGGGCTTTTGTGGGTCGTGGTTAAGATTTCCACTCATTCTGCCTGTGACTGGGCCATCGGAGGGTGTTGAGCAGGGGAGTGGCATGATTTTTAGATGCTCACCCTGGCTGCTGTGCAGAGAACTGTTAGGCGGTGACTAACGGAGTTACTGCAATAATTCAGATGAGAGATGGTGGGGGTGGGGTTAGAGATGGTGGAAAGTGGCCTGCCACCAGATTCTAGGTCCAGGGATGTCTGATTTAAAAGAGGAAATACGACAGATAAAGAACATCCCATGAAAGCTGAAACAGCACCAAAGTGCATCGTTAGGAAGCTTGAGGGCCCCACCGCAGCCCCTCTGTCTTTGTCATCTACTGCTGCTGTAACAGAAATACCACAGGTGGGTGGGTTTAAAGAACAGAAATTTATTTTCTCACAGTTTAGGAGAATGTTGTTGTTATTGTTAGGCGCCATTGAGTCAATTTTGACTCATAGCAACCCCACGTGACAGAGTAGAGCTGCCCCATAGAGTTTCCTAGGCTGTAATCTTTAAGGGAGCAGATTGCCAGATCTTTTCTCTCACAGAACCTCTGGGTGGGTTTGAACCTCCAACCTTTTTGTTAGCAGCTGAGCACTTAGTCATTGTGCCACCAGGGCTCCTTGTTTAGAAGGCTAGAAGTCCATATTCAGAGTGCTGGCTCTAGGAGAAGTCTGTCTGGCTGTTGGCTCTGGGGGAAGATCCTCGTCTCGGCGTCTCCAGCCCTGGCATTCTTCAGGCCATCTCTGAGGCATCTGTCTTCCCCATTCGTGCTTGCTTGGTTGTCTCTGTGTCTCATTTTCTTTTCATATCTCAAAAGTCATTAGGTTTAGGACCCACCCTGCACTGATACGGCCTCATAACATAACAAAGAAAACCCTATACCCAAATGGGGTTATATCCACAGGGATAGGGGTTAGCAGTCCAACACACATTTTGGGAGGACACAATTCAACCTGTAGTACCCTCACAGGGAGAAGTTAGTCAGAAGAAGGTAAGCCTTTCTTGGCTCTATCTGGGCAGCTGGACACGGGAGCATGCTGGGTGTGCCAGCTAGTCAGACTCCCCGTGAGGTGAGTGCTTTAGGGACTGTGCTTCCGGGGACAGAGAACACCAGCATCCCAGACCCAAACGCCCGCTGGGCTGGTGGGTGGCAGAAAGGACTCTGCTTATTTGTGTCCAGAGGAGCCCTGGCGAGCCTGGGCCCTGAGCTATGCCCTGTCCTTCTCTCCTCAATTCAGGGGAACAACGGTGGCCTCCAAGTCCTCATGCGTCAGGAGAATGTCCCCCTGGGGGAGGCGGTGAAGCCCAGCCAGACCCTTCCGTCCCCTCTGCCTTTGTTGTGGCAGCTCTACCCTGAAGGACAGTACCGAGGCTCAGATTCCAGTTACTGGCGCATAGTGTACCATGTCAAGGCAAGTGCGTGTCTCCCAGGGGCCATTCGGGTGATCGTGGGTGGCTTTGCTTTCCGGCTCCCTGTCTTCCCATGTCTGGTCCCTCCAGCCCAGCACAAAGAGCTCAAAAAATGGAGAGAATTTACAACAGAAGATTTGTAAGTGATTAGATTTGAGAGAAGTTAGGACCGAATGACCAGGCCACCCCCTGGGGTCTCCGCAGAGGCCTCCAGGCTGCAGAAGGGCCTCTTGGATGGGCAGTCACAGGCCGGGGCTGCTGGGAGGAGGAGTCTCCCAGGTCTGCGCCCTGCTGCCCGCCTACTGTGCTGGGCTAGCGGGAGGCCCAGGGCTCGCTGTCTAATTCCCTTCTCTCCACTCAGTTCAACAACACAGAGGATGTGCTTCTTGAGCGGCTGCCAGACTCCCAGCAGAAGTGACATGGTGAGCACTTCTGGGGCCCAACACCTGTTGGTCCAGAGTAGCAGAGCAGAGTGGCCGGGGTCCATGAAGGCTGACCCCTCGCCGTCTCTGCGGTCCTCTGGGGAGCAGTGACAGGCTTCACGGTGGCCCCATGCTCCCCTTTACCACCTGCCTGGACTGGACACCTGAGCACAGCGCTGTGCAGGCTGCAGGTAGCATTTTCCTTTCTAGCCGCTTTGTTAAATAAGAGCCACTGTTTAATGGCCACATCACTGAGGTAGGTATGGTTTTATTTTATAGTTTACAAAGGTTTAAGGAAGGTTTAAGCAAGTACAATGACTTTTCCGAGTGAGCCGACAGGCCCAAGTTTCAAATCCAGGTCTCTGACACCAAACTCACGCTCTGCTCAGCCGCGAGGGCTCAGCTGCCGAGGACCAGTGCTGCCCTGCCCTGCCCCGGCCCCTTGCCCTTGTCCCGGCAGCCCTGCTTCCACCAGCCCTCCGCCCGCCCCTCATGCAGCCCAGTCATTCTCTTCGCCTCTGAGTCTCTCTTCTCTTGTCCTTTCCCAGGTCCTGCAGTTCCGTCTCCTCTCGCCCCGTGGCCCTGAGTCCTGCTGGCCTTCACCGGGAATGTCTGTGCCCACGTTCACCTTTGTTGACCAGCCCTGTGCATCCTCCTCTGTCACGCAGAGGGTCTGGGAGGGAACGGACGACAGAGGATGAGCCCACCCAGAACGTGCTGGGCCCGCCTCCACCTTCTCTGTCCGTCCCTTGGCCCCGAGCGCCTGGCAGCTTGGCACTCCCAGCGAGGACTTCATTTTGCAGTAGCTGTCTCTGTTGCCCAGCTCTACCTCGGCCTTGTTTCCTCCACAGGTGATAGATTTCTGCCTCAGCCTCCCTTTGACCCCTCACAGCAACATTGTTGGGTTCCACACCCAGGACTCCTCCCCATTCTGTCCCCTCAGCTCCATGCACTCTGCTGTGAGGGAGCAGGGGCCCTTCCCCAAGCCCAGGCCAGGCCTCCAGGCCCTGGCACCAGCTGGCTCACATGGCACTGTGCCTGCATGCAAATGTCCCTGCAAATCCACACCTGCCCAAGCAGGTTCAAGTGCAGCTCAAGGGAAGGTCTGAAAGGAGCCTAGGTCTGTGCTCAGGACTCAAAAGCCTGCTGGTCAGTAGCCCACAACCCATGAGGTCACAGGGCCCAGGCAAGTGAGCACTTTGAACTGAGGGTTGGGGGGCCTCAGGTTGCCCATCTGCTGACGGGGTAGAGGTTGGACGCACCTGGGTGTTTTGAGGTTGCATGCAGCGTGAGCACTTTGTAATGTTGATTAATTAAATGTAAGACAATTCATCTAACTTTGTGCTGAGTCAGATTCTATCCTAGACTAGATTCTAGCGGAGAAAAGTGAGAATTGGCAGTCCCCAGATTAGAGAAAAATTGAAAGGAAAAGAATACTCATGAATTGAGTGTATTTCTTCTACTTTGGGGATAAGGCTGAAATTTTTTCTTTTTTGATAATCCAACTCTTGGAGCCTCAGTGTTTTTTGGGGACATAATTTGAGAACCATGGGCAGCTGAGTAGGGTAAATGGTTAAGTGCTCTACTGCTAACCAAACGGTTGACAGTTCAGACCCACGCAGGGACACCTCAGAAGACAGGCCTGGCGATCTCCTTCTGGAAAGTCATAGCTTCAAAAACCCTATGGAGCAGTTCCACTCTGAAACATGGGGTCACCATGAGTCGGAATCAACTCGACAGCAACTAACAACAACAGTTTAAGAACCACTGGAGTAAGTGACCTCAAAAAGATGTTGTCGGCTCCTTCTGGTGTTCAAGGCCTCTCAGTCCGGGCCTGCCCCTCTGCCCCCACCAGCTCTGTCACCTCCCTGACTGGGCACTCGTCAGGCTCCGTCCTTGTGTGGTAGTTCCTTCTCCCACCCTGTTAACACACTCAGCTGCTAACCAAAGGGTTGAAGGTTTGAGTCCATCCAGAGGCACCTTGGAAGAAAGGCCTGGTGATCTACTTCTGAAAAATCAGCCACTGGAAACCCTATGGAGCACAGTTCTGCTCTGACACACATGGGGTTGCCATGAGTAGGAGTCAACTTGACAACAGTTGGTTTTTCTCAGTTACAGCCGGAGTCCTTCCTCCCTGAAACTCTCCCAGCCACCCAGGCCCCAACCAGGCTCCCCTCCTACCTTCCATGCCCTGCAGTCACAGCCCACCCTTCCCCCCAGCACAGGCTTCCTGTGCCCTGTCCCTTCTGCCCCCTTCTCAGGATAGCTGCCCCTCCTATACCTTCTAAGCCAGGTAAACGGGACCTCAGCTATGACAAGGAACCAACTGTATGGAGCCCTGGTCCTCTCCCACGCACATGTGGCTTCAGTCCACAGCGTCCTCATCTTTTAGATGGGGGTAATGATACTTTTCTTATAGGGTTTTTCTGAGGATTCAATGGAGTAATATAAGTGCTATGAGTGGCAAATAAGAGAAATTACGTATGAAAAATACTACTTCTCATTTTATATTCTGACTCCAGTCTTCTTATCTGGCACTAGACCCCACAAGTGACAGAGTTTGTGTCTCTTGTCATTTAACCCTGTCGCCTAGCACAGTGTTTGGTGATGTAAGAGCTCAGTCTGGGGTGGCTATTCCCATATAGACACCTCTCAGTGGGGAGAGAGAATCCGAATGTCCACAGGGGGAGCATGAGAGATCAGCCAGTTGCCTCATTTTAGGAATGAGAATGCTGAGGCCCAGAGCAAGGAGAGTGTCTGTGCAAGACTCTTGTTTACCAAACCATTGACCACCACCATGCTGGAGATACAACAGGGAGCCCAACAAATGCCCTGCTCCCATGCTGCTTTCATTCATTCTGGGAAAAGGTGAGTAAGGAACTTGGAACATGCAAAACCCTGTGAAGAAAATAGAATGGGGTAACATGTAGTGAGTTAGGTCAAGTGGACAAGAAATTCCCACCTGTGGATGTGGCATTTGAGACTGGACCTTGAACATGAGAGGGAGCTAGATTCTTAAGCCGGGGAAGTGGGAAGAGGGAATGTCAAATGTGCAGATTTAATTTGCTGTACAAATTAAAGACATAACAAGAATTTCTCCTTGTTGAAAGAAATGCTATTTTATAAGAATAGGTAACCTTAATAAATTAAATGTAAATGCTCAATTTTCTACAAGAATGACTGACATGTAGAGTTTTGGCTGGAACAACTGGGTGAATAGTGATGCTCTACAGAGATAAGGAGGTACACGTTTGGGCAGAGGAAAAATGAGTTCTGTTTTAGCCATGTTAAGCTCGAGTTGCCTTGGAAACCCTATGGGGCAGTTCTACTCTGTCCCATGGGGTTGCTCTGAGTTAAAATTGACTTGACGGCACCTAACAACAACAACGATACCTTCAGATGGAAGTGTTGATAGACTGTTGATTGACCATGCATCTAGAACTCAAGGGAGAGGTCAGGACTACAAAATAATAATAAATTTGAGATCCATTTAAATATAAATGATAATTAAAGGCAGGGGCCTGAATGAGGTCACAAATGGAGAGAGAATGATGTCTTTGAAACCAAGATAAGAGTGTTTTAAGAAGAAAGATGTGCCACTTCACACCCGTTAGAATTGCTATTATCAAAAATTATTTTGTTATTTAAAGAAAAACATTTTGTCATTAAAGAAAAATACTTTGTTATCAAAAATATAAAAAATTATAAATTTATAAAAATTATAAAATTATTAAAAATACATTTTGTTATCAAAATAACAAGTGTTGATGAGGATATGGAGAAATTGGAAGCCTCATGCATTGCTGGTAGGAGTGTAAAATGATGTAACTGCTGTGGAACACAGTTTGGGGGTTCCTCAAAAAGTTAGACATAGAATTACTGTATGATCCAGCAATTCCACTCCTAGGTATATACCCTCAAGGCTTGAAAGCAGGGACTCAAACAGATGATGGTATACCAGTGTTCATTGTAACGTTATTCCCAACAGCCAAAAGGTGGAAATAACTCAAATGCTCATCAGTAGATGAATGGATACACAAAATGTGGTGTTTTGATACATGCATGCTACAACATGGATGAACCTTGAAAACATGCAGAATGAAATCAGTCAGATACAAAATGAAAAATATTCTATTATCTCACTTTATATAGACTAGACAAATGCATAGAGACCAAAGTAGGTTAGTGGTTACTAGGGACTAGAAGGAGGGTGTAATGGTGAGTTGTTGCTTAAAAAGGTACTGAGTTTCTGTTTGGGGTGATAAAAAAAAAGCTTCTGGAAATGGATAGCGGTGATAATTGTACAACATGGTGAATATAATTAATGTCACGAATTGTACACTGAAAAATGGTTAAAGTGGCAAATGTGTATTTTACCACAATAAAATTTAAAATTAAAAAAAAATTTTTTAAATGAATGGTCAATTATAGCTACACAAAACGAAAAAGGAGGAGGTAGAGTCAGCTGAGAGGCCTGTGTTTGAGAGACTGAGTAAAGAGAAGAAGGAACAGTGGGCATGGGATTTGGCCACCTGGGAGCTGATGGTGACTTTGTCAGGAAAGTTCTCAGTGCTGTGACAGGGCATGGCCCTGTTGGAACGGGGAGAGGAGAGAAGGGGAGGTGCAGGCAGACACTCCTGCCCCGAGCTTCGTTGTAAAGGGAATTAGAGAAGTGAGGCATTCAGGGTATTGTAAGTAGCAGATAGTGGAGCCTGGGTGTGCACCCTGAAGGAAACATCTGCAAGAAAGGACAAACTAACGAAGCAGAACAGAGAGGGTGTTATCCCAGGAAGAGCATTCTTGAGGAAGCTGGAAGGGATGAGTTTGGGGGAAGAGGCGTGCCAATGAATGTGTCAGCATTGGTTGGGAACAAAGACACTTCTCCCATAGGAGAAAGGAAGGTGGAGAATTTGTAGACAGACATACAGATTTGGTGGTGGAAAGTGAGGGAGTTTAAGTGACTGCTTTTGTTTTCTCAGTGAACTAGGAATTGAGG